CTGTACTATTGCTCCAGTCCCTAAAGCATAAGCTCTTCATGTGGAAGCCCTGGGTTCAATCCCAAGCACCATACGCTCCCTGAAGCACCATCAGAGTAACTTTCAAGCACTAAGCTAGGATTTGTCCCTGAGCACCTCCAGGTATGACCCTTAAACAACAAATAATCATAAATATGTCACTATTTTATTTTATTTTTAAAATTTTTAATTTTGTTTTGTTTTTGGGCCACACCTAGCAGTGCTGAGGGGTAACTCCTGGCTCTGCACTCAGGAATTACTCCTGGTGGTCTCGGGGTATAATATGGGGTTCTGAATATCAAAACTCAGGTTGGTCGTGTGCAAGGCAAATGCTCTATCCTCTGTACTATCTCTCTAGCTTTTGGTCAAAACCAAATTTGAGTATGATTTATAGGTATAACATTTATAGGTATAAAACAGGAGTGATAGTATACTGAGTGCAAAACCAGGAGTTACCCCTGAGCACTGCCAGGTGTGGCCCAAAAACAAGCCAAAAAAATTTTTTTTAAATTTTAATATCCCATTGTATACCTTACATTTAGACAACGGTATATGGGTTGTTTCTAGTTCAATGAAGCTGGGGAAAGAAAAGTAAAGAATGTAAATGTGTTTTCTTGCTAGATTATAAAGGTCTTGAAGAAATGGATTTACGACTTCACATCACCCCTACTATAGTCTAAAGCATTTATGATGGGGCCAGGAAGATGACTCAAAATGATGGGGCCCATGCTTAACCTGATCCCTGGGTACCACATGGTTCCCCAGCACCACTAGGGCAATTTCAAGCACTGTTAGGTATGACCCTAAAACAGAAACAAAAGCACAAAGAGAAACTTCAAGCATTTATTCGTGAACAATCATCACTGAGGCGAGCCTAGCAGTTCATCTTGGGACTTCAGCTCCTATTTGAAAAAAGATTGGTGTTTTCTTGCCTACTCGGAAGCTGAAGTTATGAGCTCAGAAGTCATTTCCCAGCTTTGTGACCTACTTCACAATTTCCCCAGGGCAGCAGGATCAGAAATGACGAGAGGCACTGTGGGTTTTGTCCTTCAACCAAAAGGCATTTGATCTGACTTGAAGAAGCCAACAGGTGTGGCCATTTTGTCCCTGTAAAAGGCCTCAGTGAACTATCTTTGGCCCGGAATAAGACCCAGGCTGCTGGGAGATTAGTATTTGGCTGCAGGAATGTCAGAACAGGTTGCTAAGCCCCCTCCTTCCCGCTCTGCTGGGCTGTGGGAGGAACATTCTCCTGCAGCTGGGGGTGATACTCATGAGTGCCTCAGAAAACTGCTGGTGACGGCTACTGCACGGATGGTCTTCTGCCCGTGGAAGCAACAGGAAAGTTGTGTCGGAACTCACTCAGTACTTCAAACTGACGTGCAAGATGAATGCTCAGTGGAAATGGTCCTTAGCGACCTCAATCCGCCAGTCCTCAAGTGGGCAGGACTGTCGCCCTATTAGCAGAGGAGTTGGGGGAGGGGTGGCCTTTTTTGCCTGAGATCTATATCCCTCCACCTGTCATTCCCTGCAACAAGACTCTAATTCTTCAGTGTCCCTAAGGGGATGTTTTTGTTTCTAGAAACCCTACAGACATGCCAATTCCTCTAGAAACAAGGATTCCTGCTGGGAGGAAATAAATTCCTTAGTCCAGCATTTAAAACATAACACAACCAGATGCTTTTGACCTCCGACTATTTTCCACTAAGGCAATCCCCAGAGACCCTCCTTCCAGTCAAACTGTTTTTCTTTGTTTTTGGGCTACACCCAATAGTACTCAGGGCTTATTCGTGGCTCTGCACTCAGTGATGGAGCTTGGGGGACCATATGGGGTGCTGGGGATCAAACCCAGATCTGCCGTGTACAAGTCAAACACCATACCCACTGTACTATTGCTCCAGCCTCTCAGTCAGACTGGTTTTTCAACCAACCTTCTATTTGTTTATTTCCCCTCTTCCCATTGTTCACTTAATTTCCTTGCCTGGAAAACCTATATTTTTGGTTTTGTTTTTCTTTTTGAGTTACACCCAGTGGTGCTTAGAACTTACTGCTGTGGCCCTACGTTCAGGGTTTGCTCCAGGCAGGCCTTATGGGACCACATGCCTTTCAGCCTTCTCGGGGCTAAAGAGCTACTACACTTGCCTTTAACCCCCTGCACCGCATATGGTCTCTATAGCCCTGTCAGGAGTGGTCCCTGAGCACAGAGCCAGGACTATGAGCTGAGCAGTGCTGGGTGTGGCCCCAAAATCAACTAAGAAGAAAAAGAGTCTGAGGGGCTGGTGAGAGTTCAGCAGGCTTAATGCCAGAGGCCTTGTGTTTGCGCCCTGAGGTCATATGGCCCTCTGAGCACTGCCAGGGGCAATCAGTTCCACAAGCACTTAAAGCAGGGAGTAGCACCACAGCAGTGGACCACAAACAAAAACACCCCCCAAACTAAGTATCAAACAAACAAAACCGCTCAAGCTGGCTGGGGGTAGCTCAAAGGCTTACTAATGTACAAGTTGTGCACTTGGGGGTGGCCTGCACTGGCACTGCTCGGAGGAGTGCGCCCAGTCTTTCTCCCCCTTCACCAGAAATGAGCGAGAGTAGCTCCTGAGCATCTAAACCCCAATCCAACCAAAACACCCGGGCTCCTGAGAATTTCTCCTGGGTATTTTCCATTCCATTATTGTGTCCTAAGTCCATTAACTAAAAACTGGTGTAAGGGATGGTGGTCTTTGCAGTCACAGCATCTGACACTGATTTCAGTGTCTCAGAGCAGTCAGACTGGGTGGTCGAGCTAAGACAAAGAAAGGAAAGCTAGAACTGAGTTGAAGCCCCTTTCCCTCAAACACAGTGATATCCAGCTGTGAGGTTTTAATGACCCCTCTTCTTTTTAGGCTTTTGGGCCACACCTAGAGATGCTCAGGTTACTCTTGGGTCTGCACTCAGGAACTGCTCCTAGCGGTGCTCAATTCTATGGGATTTGGGGGATAGAATGGGGGACAGCGCTTGCAAAGCAAGTACGGCTACAGGCTGTACTCTAGCACCTGCCCTCCCCTTTCTTTTGAGGGACACTCTCCCCAGTGGTGTTCAAAAGGAGGTGGGGGATCCCATTGTAATTTTCTGCTCACCAGAAAGGTGGTTCAGTGCAAGAGTAGGATGTGCAGCTCGGTCCCTGTGGTGTGGGAGATTATGGAGGTGAACCCAGCAGAGCTGGAGGTCTCCAGAACTGCATCCAGCCATGCTCAGGCCATGATATGGTGCCAGATATGAGGCCGAATTGGGCTCATGGGGTCGAATTGGGCTCATGGGGCCAGAGTACAGAGTACAGGGTAGGGCCCTGGCCTTTCAGGTTCAATCCTCCACACCCATATGGTTCCCTGAGTATCACCAGGAGTCATTTCTTAGCGCAGAGCCAGGAGTGGTCCCATGAACATCAGCGGATGTAATGCAAAAAAAGCCAAAACCCAAATATAACCCTCTCCCTCCCCCCCCCAACTCAACCAAACAAAACCCAAAACCAAACCAAACAAAACAAAGAAACCCGGATTGGGTTCATCCTAGGCTCCTTTTTTGGTCTGGTGAGGGCGACCCACACCTGGCACCTGGGGCTGTGTTCAGGGATCACTCTTGGAAAGATCCAATTCTCCTCTTCATACCTGTTGTACCCAAAGGATATGAAAACAACAGCATTTATCTATATGCGGGCAAGTACTTTGCATAGTAATCTCATTTAATTTTAACAGCCTGGTGAGATAGAGCTAAGACAAAGAAAAGTTAGAATCGAGTTGAATTCCGCTGCCCCTGTCCCCAATCCTGAAAGCGACCTCCAAAGTCCATGTTATGTATCAGCTTGGGATCAAACAGGCTAGTAAACTCTAGAACACCAGATACAGTCAGAAAGAAACCACTATCGCCTACTCATTCCTGGAGTTAGAACAGGTCAGATCTTAAGCGGAAGGCAACAAAGATTGTTTAGAAAATTTACCTTGCATATTTTTAGTTAAACAACAGAACCTTCGAAGTCTTTTTATCTATTTCTTTTATCCGTATAACTGAAACAACCCCCACGATTCAAAGGGCTGCTAGGATTTAATAAAAATGGTTGTCTAAAATGCGGACATCGAGTAGGCATTTGAGAAATGTGCTTTACACCAGGCGGGGCTTGGGAATGCGAAAACTCGACCCCGCCTCTACCCAGGCTGAAGTCCTGAAGTCGCGAGGTTCCCCCCCCCCCCCCCCCCCCCCCCGACTCCGCGCACCGGCCCCGCAGCGCCCAGCCGCCGGTACCCGAGCCAGCTAGCCGTTGGCGTTTTCCCGCGCAGGGGGGCGGGGCGGAGCACGAGCCCGGGAATGTGGGCGCGGAAACCCCTCTCCCCACCGGGACTACACCTCCCAGCAGGAACCACGTTCAGCCGTCTGGCAGGCGACACCTGCGGGTAGGAGTCCTAGCCGCCAGCCCAGTCGGCTTTCCGTCTCGGCCACCCCTACGACCCTAAGGCACGGACGTCCCCGCTCTGAACCGGCGGGGCCCCGGCGGCCGTGGTGGGCGCTTGGGCCGCGCAGCATGCTGGGAGTTGTAGTTTCCTCGCGCCACGGACCGGTAGACGTGGCCTGAGTGGTGGGATTCCAGCACGTGACAAGCGGGGGGCGGGGCCAACAGCGAGCGAGCGAGCGATTTGTGCTGCCTGGTGAGGTCATCAGAGTGTGACTACGAGTTGCTGTTTTGGGACATCTTGAATATAGTGGAGGTGGTGGCGGTACGGGAGGGTGTAGGGGGCGACCCGTGATCCCTCCGAGCGTGTGGAGTCCAATAAAAGCGCCCTTTACTTACTTCCTCTTCCCGCTTCCCGGCCACCTCCCCCCCACCCCCGCCCTCCACCCCGCTTCCCGCCTCCTCGAGAACGTGGGGACGCGAGAGGAAGCGACGCGCCCCTCGGCGGGGCGGGGCCGAGGAGCCGCGCGCCCGCGACGGGTGATGACTCCGCCCTCCCCCGTGACGCCACGGTCACGTGACGGGCCGGGCCGCCTCTGCCGCCGCCGCCGCTTTGTAAGAGGCACATTGGCAGGTAACGAGCGGCGGCGGCGGCGGCGGGTCCCGAGTCCAGCGAGAACAGCAGCGGTAAATTGGCACCCTCCTCCTCCTCTTCCTCCTCCTCCTCCTGCCCCCCGGCGGAAGGGCCCCGAGCCCGGCAGCGGGTGCTTCCTCGTCCGGGGGATTCCGCTCTTCTTCCCTTCGAGGCAACCTCCCTCGCCCCGGCGCCCACCCGTGCGGACCGGGCCGAGCTCCACCGCGTCCGCGGGGCTCCTCTCGCCCTGCCCAGGCCCCGCTGCGTGCGCCTCTTCCTCCCCGCCGCGGCTGGCCCGCCGCCGCTTCCTACCGCCTCCCGGCCCTAGTTGGCCCGGCCCCACCCAGCCCCAGGGGGCTCCTTCCCTCCCCACCCCCCCTCCATCTTCGGGCTTCTGCCCTGGAGGGTGTGGTTTTCTCCCACCTCTGTCCCTCCCTGCCCGTCCGCTCGAGCGCCCGCGCCACGCTGTCGCTCTGCGTCCTCAGCGCCTTCTCACTTGCACGCCCGTTCCTGGAGCCTCCCGAAGAGCCCAACTTCTGCGCTCACTCGCAGCCCTGAGCAGCTTTCCCCGAGGCGGAGTTCCAGCCTTACTTGTTCTTTCTCCCCCCGCCCCCCATCTGGGAAGGCTTTCTTTTTCTTCCTTTTCTTTTCTTTCTTTTTTCTTTTTTTTTGGGGGGGGGTCTCAAGCTCTTGACTCAGTTTTGCTTTTTTTTCCTTCTTCCCAGTCCCAGGTTCTGCCTGGTTTTATCTCCGTTCCTTGCTTTTCATGTTGCCTTGAGAGCGCTTTGTAAGCTGACGCGCGGTTCCACAGATTCAGAGTGTTTGGCTTTCATTGGCATTATTGCCTCGCCGTGTTTCTTTGCCTCCGAATCACTTTCCCGCTTGGCTTTCCCACCTTTTCACCTGGGCTTTCAAGTCTGGCTCGGTGCCCGGGCCTCAAGTGCCGACACTCCGGTCTCTTAGCCTCTTTCTCTCTAGGAGTTGAGCCCATCCCCATTCCTGTTATTTCCTGTTTGACATAATCCTGTAGCTCGCTCCCACCTCCTTTGGATACAGTTTCTGCTAAGACACAAGCATATGGTCTGCATTGAGTATTTACACTGACCGCCTTCACCTGAACTCTCTTGACCGAGAGCTTTTTAAGGTTTCTCCAAAGATCCTTTTTTATTTCAAGGGCATGGAATTAGCTTCTTGGGCGAACTCAGTTCTTTTATGTTCTCTTCCATCTGGCAAAACTTTTTTCTTTTTTTTTCTTTTTGGGTGAGGGGGGCCCACCTGATAAGGATCCCAGCAGCAGAGTTCTGGGGGATTATCTAGGACCATTCTGTTCAGGGATTGGAATGGGCGGGGAGCACTGTCTCCAGACAGCCTGTCGTCCAGCAAAGCCTGTCCTCCAGCCATTGTGCCGTCTATAGAGTGCTCTCCCAGCTCTAGAGCACTCTATTTTTGATCTATAGAGCACTCTATTTTTGATCTATACCTGGGGTGCTTAGGGCGTACTCCTGTCTCCGTGCTCAGGAGTCATTCCTGGCAGTGCTTAGGGGACCATATTGGGTGCCAGCAATAGAAGCTGGGACAGCCGTTTGCAGGGCAAGAATCCTAGTCTCTATGGTATTGCTCCAGCACCCCTCCCCCCATCACTTTTATTTTATTACTGTTATTATTTTGTTTGGGGGCCACATCTGGCTGTTCTAAGAGCTTAGTCTTTGCTTTTCACTCAGAGACCATTCCTGGCGTGGCTCGAGAGCATGTGTGGTGTCAGGGATGGAAACTGGGTCAGCTGTGTGCTAGGCAAGAGTCAAGAGCCCTACCTGCTGTGCTCTCTGACTCCCTTCCCCTACAGCACTTTTATTTTGTTTTTAGTTCACCCATCTGGCAATGCTTAGGGGTTATTCCTACCGCTACACTAAGGAATTAATATTTATGGTGCTTGGGAACCATTTGGGGTCCCTGGGATCAAACCTGGGGCAGCTGTGTGCAAGGCAAACATCGTACCCACTTTGCTATCTTCCAGTCCCACCTTTTTTTTTTAAATAAAACCAAGGGATTTGTCAACAGTTTTGCCCAGAATTGTGCATTCCTAACGACATTTGTGTCAATGCTTTATATAGTGGATGTTTATAATACCGCCTAAACTCTTATGTATCTAAGCGTTGGGTTGCTGGATTGGATACCTCCTCTTTCTGGGAAGGAAATCACTTCCATTCTGGAGCTTATGGGTTCTTCCAGTGGTCCCAAATCTCTTACCTGCCTGCAGGGGCCTTTGGCTTGGGCCCTCTGCCTGCCATTGCCTAGAGTGCTTCTCTGATTAAGGGGCTAGTTTTCTGGAAGATTCTCCTTCTGGTGTATCTCTCCTGACTTCTTGTTCACCATGTATGGTGGGATTCCCCTGCTGGACCTCCCCACACACCCACACAACCACCCTTGTCCTGTTTGTTACCTGTATGTCTTCCCCTATAGCTTCTGAGCTCAGTCCTTAAAGATTCAGAGAAGGGAAGTTTTTGCCATGCTTGAAAAAGTGACTGGAAGTGGAAGTGGTGGTATGGGAATGAGGCCATGGGAAAGGGTTGTAATTGCCTCTCTTGCCAGTTTCCTGTTGCTCTGGTTTCCTCGGGCCTCTCTCTTTAAATGTGGGCTGGACCCGTAGCAGTCACATGTAGCTGCCTTTAGGAAAAGGCAGGAGAAACAATAACACCTAGTCTGCTTCCCTTTCCTGAGAATTGGTGCAGCCAGTTCTGTGCTCCCCAGGAGGGAATTTGGAACTGGGAGAAATTGTAGGTGAACCTGAAGAATGTGCTTTCAGCCTGTGATGGTGTGTGGATAGGAACTGATCACTTACTACCTACTTAAGAGCCCTCTTAAGTGTCAGCTACATGTAGAAAGTATAAACCAGTTTTGAAGATAGGGCTCAAGTTTAAGCCTTTTCATTGAAAGTTTTTTTTTTTCGGGACTGGAGTGTTCGTGTGGGAGCACACGCAGAGATACTCAGTGGTTACTCCTTGCTCTGCCCTTAGAAATCACTCCTGGTGGTGCTTGGGGAACCTGAGAATTGAACCCAGGTTGGCCTCGTGCAAGGCAGGCATCTTTTTTTGGGGGGGGGAATTCACACCCAGCGATGCACAGGGGTTACTCCTGGCTCTGCGCTCAGGAATTACCCCTGGTGGTGCTCAGGCGACCATATGGGATGCTGGGAATTGAACCCGGGTCGGCTGCGTGCAAGGCAAACGCCCTACCTGCTGTGCTATTTCTCCAGCCCCAAGGCAAGCATCTTACCTGCTACAGTCTCTCTGGCTTCACTATTGAACATTTCCCACGACCAAGGTCTCCAGTTTGGACTTTTTTGTTTTTATTTTGTTTTTGGTTACACCTGGTGGTGCTCCTGGCTCTGCACTCAGGAATTACTCCTGGCAGTGCTCAGGGGACCATAAAGAATGCTGAGTATCAACCTGGGCCTGCCACATTCAAGATAAACGCGCTACCTGCTGTACTATTACTCCGGCTCTTCCAGCCTCAGTTTTGACTTACTTTAAGCCTTCTTAATGACTTTTTACCCCTTTCACTTAAGTGTATTATAATGTCTAATGTCTGCTTAAAAGAAGTTTGCCTGATTTTGTAGATGGTGATGTTCCTCTGCTTATAAACATTTTATTTCTTACGAGGGAGCCTGTATGTCAGTGTTTGTCAGCATTTTGTTGACAGTTTGAATAAATGGAGTGCCCTTTTTTTGGTGGTGGGAATCAGATCCAGGTGTCGCATGTGCTGCGCGTGGCGCTTTACCAGTGAGCCCCATCCATCTTCTGCCCAAATGGAGTGTCTTTTAAGAGCTGAGGCTCACTGGGCTAGAGAGCACAGGTAGGGTACTTGGCCTTGCCTGTGGCCAGGGAGCCCTTCATATTGTCCCTTGAGCCCTTAAATGAGTGATCCCAGGGGCCGGAGCGATAGTGCAACGTGTAGGGCGTTTGTCTTGTAAGTGGCCGACCTGAGTTCAATCCCTGGCATCCCATATGGTCCCCCAAATGCCTCCAGGAGTAATTCCTGAGTGCGGAGCCAGAGGAACCCCTGAGCATGGCTGGGTGTGACCTCCCTCCTCAAAAAAAGGTAAAAAAAAAAGTGATCTGAGTGCAGTGCACTACTGGGTGTAGCTTCCAAACAACAACAAAACTAAGAATGATGGAGCCAGGGAGATAGTGTACAGGGCTAAAGCATGTACTTTGCATGCAGGGTCTGCGTTTTGATCCCTAATGCCACACAGTCTCTTGATCACAGCTGGAAGCAAGGACCAAGGTAGTGCTTCCCCTCGTGTCTCCCCCTCACCCCCCCCCAAAAAAAAGTGGAGATGTGATATGAAAAAGACAAAAATTAGGGAAGAGTTAAGGTAGCATCGCCATCACTGTAAAGCCTGTAGTAGTTGTGTTTTTGTTTTGGTTTTGGGCCACACCTGATGATGCTCATAGATCACTCCTGGTGGTACTTGGGGGAGACTATGTGGGTCTGGGGATTGAACCCAGGAATCTCAAGTGCCCCTCCCTACTCACTGTACTGTTGCTCTGGCCCAGCCTGTGGTAGTTTTAGAGAAAGGTTTCTGAAATGAGTTTGGGGGGAGGGCCACACCGGGAAGTGATTTGGGTACATGCAGTACTGGGGTGGGACTCGGGGCTGCTGCTCCCCAAGATGTGCTCCAGCCCTTGAGTCATCTTCTGATCTTCTGGCTTAGCGTTCGAATAATTTTGACCCAACTTTCAAATAAGTAGGGATGAAAACCTTGTGTTTCAAGTCCAAGAACTAATTAATCAGGTTTTGTTTTGACAGTTATAATGCAAACTGCTTATACTGAGATTTCCTACTTTTTTTTGTGTGTGTGTTTATTTGTTTGATACTTTCTCAGAGATGCTGCATGTTCTGTACTTTTTTTTTTGGTGCCACACCCAGTACTCACTTGCTCAGTGACCGGAGTTTGATCTCGATGCCACTGGGAGTGGCCCGGGTGGCCCCCTACTTGTTTGGATTTGGGTGGCCCCTCCCAATTGGGCCCAGCATTGAGCTCCTAGGTCTC